ACCCCCCCCCTTATATGGCCATAAACGTCTTCATTCTGAAAAAGAGCATTGACATAAGTCTTTTGTCTACTTAAACTTACTTTTAAAGAGTAAGTTTATAATACAAAGATAGCAATTTGATTGGTAAATTGTGATAGTTTAAAGTAAAAGGGTCTACTTACACCAGCAGATGTCACGCATTTGTCAAGGAGGTCAGTAATCGCCTTCTCCTTACACAACAACAAAAAATATTTTTCCTCCGCGATGGACCACGTATTTCGTTTTACCTTTAACGGCGTGCTCATTGTATTTGAAGGAAGAAAAAAAGCAGAATACACAAGGAAACGAAAACGCGTTGTAATTTGTAAATAATTTTTCCCCGCCAGTGGCCTCAGTCCACCGCAGGGCAAGCGATAATTTTCCCGCCAAAAAATTAACGCATGCGTACTATGCGTTGGCGTCTTATGTAAGACGCAAAGGTCATTTATACGAAGTTTTTCTCGTCTTAGCTAAGACGCGTCTTATCTAAGAACAGGTGTTAACGGCTGTTCTAAAATAAGACGCGTCTTAGCTAAGTCGCGTCTTATTTTAGACAAAATGTGCCGTTTATACGGAAAGTTCGCATCTTATTTTTCCTCGTATAAATGGCCCTATTGGTTGTTATCTTACCTATGATGTACAATTCCTTGCGTAGGTGCATGGGGCAGTTTTTACGTTTATATTAGCAGCAATTTAAAGAACATTTTTAACTTTAAGAAAACTGTGTTACAAATGTGGGATTGATAACAGCCAACAAACCACATATTTTCTTGGGCTGGGGTACGTGCTCCTGGTTCAGTACATGATTCTACTCTCTTAAAATCCCCAAATTTTTTCACGAGATAAAATGATGATATTGTACTAACCTTACCTGGTTATGGGGAAATTCCTCTAGGGATGGTGGGGGACAGTGCCTTTCCTTCACGCCCCCTGGCTGCTGAAAGATTACCCAGATACAACAAAAAATAGAAAAGAACGGTACTTCATTAGAATATTAAGATCTGACAGGGTTGTTTCAGAACATGCCTTAGGCATGTTAAAGGGAAGATTTTGTATTGTATACAAAAAGGCAAAATGTTCGAGACAATGTAAAAGCTGTTATCATCGCCTGTATTGCACTTGGGAAGATTTCGTATTGTATACAAAAAGGCAAAATGTCGGCGACAATGTAAAAGCTGTTATCATCGCCTGTATTGCACTTGGGAAGATTTCGTATTGTATACAAAAAGGCAAAATGTCGGGGACAGTGAAAAAGCTGTTATCATCGCCTGTATTGCACTTCACAATTTCTGTATTTTGCTGTGTGATCTGTGTCTCCCACACTGGCAACTCAGGGTGGAGAGACTCATCTAATTCGTAAACCCATCGAACGAACCCAGGATGGGCAGCTAAGTCAGCAAGTACATGCAACAATCTCTAGGTGGTTATTATCCTTGCAGAATTTCGCAGATAATGTAAAAGCTGTCATCATTGCCTGTATTGCACTTCACAATTTGTGCATTGTGTGGTCTGATCCATGTCTCCCACGTTGGCAACTCAGGGTGGAGAGACTTATCTAATTCGTAAACCCACTAAACGAACCCAGAATGGGCGGCTAAGTCAGCAAGTACATGCAAGAATCACTCGGTGGTTATGGTCCTCGAGAACGAGAAGATCTATTTCAATTTTGCAAATGTCTGATAGCTTGGTATTGTGTGTGTTAACACAACAGCTAGACTGTTTACAGTCCCCTATTTTTCCATGAGATCATCGAGATCGAGCGTGTCTTACCATTAATGGCGGCCATCTTGATTTTCAGTCGTACCGAGTCTAACCTGGGGATGAGTATCAAATCTACTTAAGGGGCGGCGGACGGTTTGGAAGGAGGCGAGAAAAATAGAGGGACTGTAATAACATCACTGCGACTCGCGTTCAGGGGGCGTGACAGGAATTTATCGCCTATCCCCATTCATTAATTAACAAACTCCGCCTCTGATAAAAAAACATGCCAAATAAAAATACACAAATGTACATTTGATACATGAATGTTGCGTGATCAAAACATCACCGTTTTCCAATGGAGGCGGTGAACAAGCTTCCCTCTACACCCAAAAAACCGGTTAAACCATCAGCTAAGAAGCCAGATATTTCTAATACGTGTCGTCTTTGTTACGTTGATTTTAAGTCACCTGGCAGATACTGTGCGTCCAAAATTTTTAAAATACCGCAGAAATCGGGAGTTACCAGCACTCCCCTAGCCGACCTGGTTGGAAAGCATGTCGAAGTAGTAATCCCGCAAGATACGAAGAAGTCTTCCTGTGTTTGCGCAAAATGTTCCCTGAAAATTCGGAATGCCAGTACCATATGCGAATTTATAAAGGCAGCACTGGATTCTGAAAACACCACTTACGTGGAAAGTGGCGGAGATCCTCGCTTCAAAAGGTTGAATGTCATTTCTCCTCCGAGAAATGTCAAGAAGAGCTGGCCTTACAGCTCGCCAATGGCGAAGTAAGTCCTTCGGCTGTTTCCCGAGCAGAAAATGAGCCAGAAAATAGGCAAAGAGCGAAACGTTCTATGCTGTTGAACTGAAATGATTACATGGCCAGAGATGCAGATCTGGGCGACACTCTGAACATAACCCTGGACAGTGACGATCTCTTCGAATCATCGGGAGAAGCCAGTGCAGATTTTCCGTTAAACGTGTTTTTGGATGATGTCGGACGTGAAGAAAAGGACAGATCACAGAAAAAAATTAATGTGGATGTAACCCTCGATTTTCCATCTGGACAGCGCCACAAGCGAGTGCCTGATGATGTGTCAGGTATTGTGAAAAACTTCGCAATAAGTGATTTCAAGGCGGCCGTTCATTTGATTTTTAAGTGCAAGGAACTGAAGCCTTTCATAGAAGAGGCCTTAAAATCAAATCTAGTGAACTGAAGGAATATTGTCAATCAGACAATTCTCTTTTGAAGCATACTTCGCCAGCAGAATTAGCCGCGTTTTCTAATAAGTTAGTTTGCCACGAAGTTTCAGTGATGTGTCCCCCCGGGAATGCCGCCCTGAGAGCTGCAGCTGGTTGCAACAGATCCAAGGCCAAGTCTGACAAGGCTGTAAATGTCCTGGCACTTTTCTCTGCTTCTGTGGCCAAATTTAGGCATCAGAGAATGTCGGCCCTTGCCTACAGAATTTCCGTGATCCTGTTACATAGTGGTGTCAAGAGCCAGGATTTCACTCGCCTTAATCGTCTTGGAATTAGTATGTCTCATAAATCGACCATCGCAAAGCAGAAAGAAATGGCTAAGGAGCACGACTCGCTGGTTCTCACGTGGAAAAATAAGATTGAACCCGTCAAGAGATGCGAAAGTCTTCTTCAAGAAGTGAAAGAAAAACAAGTACCAGTGCTAGTGGAAACCAGTGATGAAAATGATATGGAAATCGATGTGTATGATTTGAACCAGTCAACCCTGGCTTCTTATGATTTTTTCTCTCAAGAATCATATGAGATCTGCAAAGGTGTGCTTGCATCTTCACCAACTGCCACCCCTGCTGCTCTTGAAGTGGCTGTTTCTTCTGCAGCAGATAAATTCAGATTACTTCCAAGATATAGGTGAGTTGGATTAGTACATTAGTAATATTAGTTTGAGATCTGTGCAAGATTTTTAAGTGGGTCAATAATGTTTTCATGGCAACTGAAATAACAGTACTGCATATAAGAGATCACCAAAGGCACTCAGTTTAGGGTCTGGAAGGGGGGGTCCTGATCCCGCATTCCCGCCCCTTTTTCGCAAGAATCCCGCATCCCGCATCCCGCACGTTTTTCATCACTTTCCCGAATCCGGCTTTTCTTTCCCAGAAAAATACATTAAAAAGTCTAATTCCTACAAAAGCTAATAAATGTAAGATGTGGGTTGATCCTTTCGATTGATATTTTGAATTTACGCGTGTTTTTAAAGGCTTCTGCAAAAAGAAATAGCTTTTTGTACCTCAGTATGAAGAAAGAGCACGATATGAAAGCGTGATCTGTCTGTACGCGTGCGCACTGTCTTTGATAGCAAGTTTACAGGAAGAGCCTCAACTGTGTCTTCTTCGTGGGTGGCACTGTCTTCTTCTTCTGCTGGAGTCAGAATCATTCTCTGACAGCTGGTCACCAATATCATCAGCTCAACTGGGTTCTTCGGTGACTCGGTCGCCAACAGGTAGCTCTTTCCTATACATGTTTAGAGGAAGAGTCCCTGGTGCATGTTTGGTGTTGTTCTGACGAACCAAGAGCTGTCTGACGGCTTTGCCATGCTCGCTGGCCCACTGGCGCGTGTAGATTATAATAAAAGTGAAGCTATTATAGATTCAGTTATGCCAATGGTTCTGTCAAGTGTGCCTTTGTAACAGCTAAGACGCGTGTAGCTCCCAAGAAACCTTTGAGCATCCCTAGACTAGAGCTGCAAGCTGCAGTTTTAAGTGCAAGGTGATCTACTGTGGTAATCAAGGAACATGATTACGGGATAGACTCTACCTACCTGTGGACTGATAGTAGCACTGTGTTTCAGTGGATTCGTGGTGAATCCAAGCGACACCCCGCCTTCATTGCGAACCGAGTTGTGGAGATTCTGGACACAACTGAACCAAGCCAATGGAATCATTGCCCTGGTGCTCTTAACCCAGCAGACGATGGTAGAAGAGGACTTCCATGCACAGTTATCACATCAGAGAGTAGATGGTTGAATGGTCCTGTGTTTTTAACCCTTTCTGAAGAAAAATGGCCGAAAGGAAATTCAAAGCTTGAATCCTGCAGCCAGCAGAAACAAGAGACCTCAGCATACAGTGCATCACAAGCTCAAACTTCAAAAGAAGAGTTCATTTCGTTAGCCAAGTATTCATCCCTAACACGACTTCTCAGAGTAACTGCTTACTCTTTCCGATTTGTTTACAACTGCAGATGTCGAAGGACTGACCGTCAAAGTGGTCCATTGCTAGTGGAGGAGTTGGAGCGTGCTCAAAAGTTCTGGATTGGCACCGCCCAAGTGAAAAGTTTCCCCCAAGAGATTGCAACCCTCGAGAGAAACCAGCAGGTCTCTCCCAAGAGTAGACTGGCCTCTCTTTCTCCCTTCCTCGATGGAGACGAAATTGTTCGTGTTGGTGGACGGATCGAAAGTGCAGATATTCCATTCTCAAGTCGACACCCCATTGTGTTATCACCTGATAATGAGCTGAGTCGCCTCATCATTATGGACTGTCACGAGAAACTGAGGCATGAAGGTGTTGAACATGTTCGGAACGAACTGGGACGACAGTATTGGATCCTACGTTGCCGTACAGCTGTAAGGAAGATTTTACACCGATGTTCATACTGCAGAAGGAGAAGAGCAAAGCCAGAACCACCTTTAATGGCGGGACTACACGCCGACCGCCTGCAGGTCGCACCCGCATTCTCAAAGGTTGGAGTAGATTTCTTTGGACCTCTGAAAGTGAAGCACCTCAGGAAGCAAGAAGAAAAAGATATGGCTGCCTTTTTACCTGCCTTGTAACTAGAGGAGTACATCTCGAAGTCGCCCACTCCTTATCTACTGATTCTTTCATTATGTCTCTTCGAGGGTTTATTGTGAGGAGAGGTAAACCGACTGTTATATACTCTGACAATGGTACGAACTTTGTTGGGGCGAATCGGGAAATACAAGAGTGTCTTAATGGGTGGAATTAGGACAAAATTGCAGCAGCGCTGAGTAAAGAACGAATTCAATGGGTATTCAATCCTCCTGCAGCACCCCACATGGGGGGAGTATGGGAACGTTTGGTGAGATCCTGCAAGAAAGCCCTTGATGTTGTTCTGCAGAATCAAGTTCTGACGGATGAGGTGTTGTTAACTGCAATTACTGAAGTTGAATCCCTAGTCAACAGTCGTCCACTGACTGAAGTGAGTTCAGATGCGGACAATCTTGAAGCGTTAACCTCAAACCACTTCCTCATTGGCAGAGCAACCCAACTTGACACCTGGAATCTTCGCTGACAAGGAGATATCAAGCCAAAAGCGCTGGCGACGAGCGCAAGTCATCACCACCCACATCTGAAAAAGATGGTTGCATGAGTATTTACCTGGTTTAACTGCCCGCAAGAAATGGTTCCAAGCTGTACCTAACCTGAAGGTTGGTGACCTCGTGCTTATAGTTGACTATGGAACTCCAAGAGGGTGCTGGCCTCTTGGCAGGATTGTGACCGTTTCCCTGGATCTGACAATGTTGTAAGATCAGCTGAAGTGAAGACAAAGTTTGGTCTATTAAGACGCCCTGTAGCGAAATTAGCCCTTTTGGAAGAGTGTTCGCCCAACTGATGTAGCCGAACACGGGGGGAGGATGTTAGTGCCGGAAGTGGACGTGACACTGTTTATTCAATTTTCAAATGAGACATTTTAGTGACGCTTAAATGAATTAATTAAGTGCAAGAACCCGGATGTTAGCACATGGTTTTGTCTTTAGTTTTTGTTCGCTCGTACAATTTTGGATGGTCGCCTGTATACGATTGTAAAGCTTAATTGGAAACTAATACAGTCAAGAATTGTTCCTACTTTGGTTTTGGTGGATATTTTTTGGTTTCGGGAACAAATGCTATTGAACGTTGTGCTATAACAAAGCTATTCCCAACCACTCCACTTTAATTAACTATGCTTTCTTTGTTTTAATTTCATTTCTCTAAGCCATGAGAAGAAAAAGCATCCAACTCTGGAGGTACCTAATGAGCCCCAAGAAGATGACAATTCCAAGAAACAGCCTCAAGACACTATTTTTAATTACCACAAGGCTAAGCTTTGTCACGGTCTTGTTTTAGCCAATTTCAATGATGCAATAAGAGAAGGGGATGGGGAGAGGGTAATTTCCTTGTACAAAATTATATTATTAATTTACAAGAGCGACGGTTGTACAAAGTATGCATATACCACATTGATGCTTCTAGTTAAAGTAAGTGCATTGCTCAGCGAGTCACAAGCCTTCAGACTAAAGTGGAATCGGTTTTGCAATGCTACTGGAAAAAGAGCCAGAAATATTCCATTAGATCCTCAATTAGAACATGACAATAATTTTGTTAAGGCTTTCTTAAAAAGCCTTCGTGCTAACCTAAATGATGTGAATGCCCAGAGAGTAGCAGCCTCTTTAAATCACATGATCACCATAATGCAAACAGTGGATGAAGACTGCAAGGGTCAAAGCCGAACTGGGACCGTGCGAGGAGGGAAGGACCCTGCTGAGACAATAAAGCAGATTGCTGATGACCTAGTGAAGGGAATGGTCTTCGAGGAATGCCAAGGGAATAGCGGTTACAAAGGTTTTGAAAAGTTCAGTTCCGACCTCACTGAAAAACTGGACTACAGAAACTTGTTTCACTGGATCAAGGATCATCTGAGAATATGGGACAAGATTTACACATAGCAACCCAAAAGTTAGAGTACTAATACCCTGCATATCTTTCTTTTTTTATCAGCTGTTTCATATACAGATCTATGCAGATTTCTTCAAAGTTTTAAGCAGTGTGATATATTTCACTTGATTTGGGTTGTAAGGTCAGACTTGACTTAAAAATTCATTTGATATTGCGTTTTAAATTTGTTGTATTCCAGTAGATTTTTATTCCCCGACATAAACTTGGCAATAACAGGGGCAATTGGATAAAGATCATCATTTGTTTTTTGAAGAAATAATGTCATTTATCAATTTTAAATAACATTCATGATTACTCCTTACATCTTCATGTGGAATTAATCAGGAACAGAAAAAATACTTAGAAAATTATAGTATTTGCACACATTTTTTCTGTCTTTTTCTTCAATCTTATCAGGTGAAAAAAGTACTGTAGTTTAAATACAAAAGTAAGCAAGTACTATGTAGAGCTCAGACAATTTGTTCTTCAGCAGAAACTTGAGATAAAACTCTTGACACAAAAATGACATTGATAACACAGTCATCAAATTAGCTGCTATGAAGACTCTCAGTATTTTAGTGGTTATCTGAGTTGTATGATACACACTATCCTTTGCTTATCTTTGTAAAATATGGTAAGGCGTACAACATGATAAAGGGCTGCCTATCCTAGGTGATCTTATTCTCTAGGGATAATTAAAAACAGTTACATAACATTTACATAACATTCCCTTCTGTGTTTACGTATAAGTGGTATCTCAATCAATAAAATAACAAATAAGAAACTGTACCAACTACACATTTTCTAGTTCTTCTGTGTTAATTCTATCTGGATCGGAATCTGACTCAGTTGAGATGTGTTCCGTTTCATCACAGTCATAATATAAGTCCATGAAAAATAGGTCATTAGGTACAACTGTTGCCATCATTTCATCAAAGTATGGAATGTCTTCAAAAATTTCTTGGAAAATTTGTAAAATCAACTTGGCATGACCCAGGCTAAATACTGGGAAGCGTTTGAGAATGTCTGACAAAGAAAAAACAGAGGATGCATGTAACACCAGTTCATTAACTAGTTCTGAGGTGAAACTGCTTGAACTGGTGGAGTCAAACATAAATGCTTTCCTATTGCCCAATCCACATTTGACTTAGCATAGGGCTTTCTGCAATGTCTCAGCATTTTCTTCTGATACTGGTCCTTGGAACGCAGCACAAGACTCTGAGGTAGATGTCATCCCTTTTGGCTCATCAAAAGGAAATCTTTCGCGACTACACTCCTCACCAGAACATAAACAATTGTTGTCACAGCTGCTGCAGCATTCATGTGGAGGATTATTGCTTGGGACATCATCAAAGTCCTTAATAAAGCTTTTCTGACACAACTCCCTGAACGTGCAAATTGCTTGATAGCTTCTTCACAATGGGGGAGCTGATTACCATGGTATAGCACAACATTATGTGCACTGGCACCATCTCTTCCAGCTCTTCCGGCTTCCTGTATGTGGTCCACAACACTTCTTACTGGGCCAATGTGGATGACGTATCTAACATCAGGAAAATTGACTCCCATGCTGAGGGCAGAGGTTGCAATAACAATACGGACTTGTCCCACATTATCTTTAAATGAATGTGAAACCCTAGATTTGTATTTAGGGAGAGTCATGGAATGGTAAATTCCCACCAACCTGTTCTCCGGGATTCTTGGCTTCTCTGCCACATGCGCAGAATCGCCTAACTCAGCTAGCAGGAAACCAAACACTTTTGCAACATCATGCATTGTGGCACAAAAAATTATTGTCTTTGGAGACAATAAGTGTCTTTCTTTGATTATATCTATTAACCATCCAAGGTAACCAAGCTGGTCAGTCTTAGTAGTTTTTATCACAGAGAACCTGATGTTCTCACGGTTCGGACTTATGTTAAGCATCACAGTGTTCTCTCCCGTGGCAAGCTGCTGCATAATTGTGGTTTGCATCAGCTTTGTGGCAGTTCCTGTGATTGCTAATAGGGGTACACCTAGAAAAATAAAAGGAAAACATATCAGAGAAATTAGGCAAATAATGTTTAAATGATTAAAGCACAGACCCAACTTTTATTTCCAGTTAGAATTTATTTTCCGTTGGTTTTGTGTATGGTATGGTATGATAATAAATTTAAAACCAAAAATAGAAATATAATTTAGAAGAAAAATAGAATTTAACTGCAACATATACATGCTTCAAACTTATTTGTTACATAGTATTATGTTAATGTATGCAGAAAAAGGTAAGAATCTTAAGGAAAATCTTACTACATGTTTTAATCAGCATGACTCTACATATTAGGATTGTATCGATAACAAATATTTGTCATGCAATGTAAATCTGGACAACAAGTCAATACAGGATTCAACGTTCATTTGCAAACAACTTACGGAATTTACAACACAGAGGTATACAGATGAAGAGAGGCTGAGCTTCTTAAGTGACAAGCTTTGCATCTTATAGCTTACAAACAATCAAAATCGAAATACGAAAAATTAAACAGTAAAACTTCTAAGTTTGGATAAACAAAAGCATTACTAATACGTACCACTACAAAAGGATCGAAGAGTTGACAGT